GTGCAAGGAGGATGGGGCTGGAGATCCAGTGGGAGCGGGCAGGAGCTACAAGTGGATTCCCAAAGCGGTCTGTTGTTTTCCAACTGTGTTCTGACTGCAGCACTTGATAGCTGATTTCGTCTTTTCTCTTTCAGAGCCTAATGAGCTGTGTGTGGGCCCTGCGTTCGGTGACAGCCCCTCTCAAGATGCTGCTAATACAGTAGTTAATTATTCCTAGCTGCAGAAGTCTAAGAGGAGCAAAAGGAAGTGGGGAAAAGCGATGGCTGCCGGTAAATATCTCCGGTCTGCAGAGGCCATAAGAAAATAGCTAGAAAGAGTGGATTTCAGCTGTGACCAGGGAGAGGGGAAGCACAAATGTGTGGTTACACCCTGTGTTTGAGTTTTCAGTATCAGAAAGGTACCCTTAACTATGCGACCCACTCTTCCTTCCCCAACCCAGGAAAATCCATATTGACCATATTCTTTATAATTCTCTTTTTGTTTTTAGAATAAAATTTTGTATTTCCCATAGTGAATCGATTTTGTTTGACCTCTTTTTGGGGCTGATGTATTCTTAAATCTTTTACAAAAAAATTTTTACCACATGGAAGACAGGTCTTTCACTGGAGGGAGTTTGGTTCTCACAGCTTTCTGACAAGTTGCCAGAGATTATATATAATTAAATTATGTCAGAGGATTACAGGACGATTCATTCAGTTTGGGAGGGGCCTCGGGAGGTCTCCAATCTAACTTCCTGCTCAAAGCAAGACCAGCCAGGGAGTCAGATCAGTTGCTCAGGGTTTTATCAAGCTGAGTCTTGAAAGCTGCCAAGGATGGTGACTGCACAGCCTGTTCCACTGCTTGACTGTCCTCGTGGTGAAAAAGTTTTCCATATCACCAACCTGGACCACTCTTGCTCCATTTTATGTCTGTTGAATGTTTCCAATATCTTTGTTTTGCTGTACAATACCAAGCATTATTGTCAGTGGTCTACAAGATGAATCGTAAGAAACAAAACAAACCCAAAATAAGCAGTGGTTGTGACACCTCATTTTCACTGAAAGTTGTGGTTAAAAATTGTGGTGTGTTGATTTTTCTACTTACAGAGGGTTTCTTTTCTTGCAGCAGCTGATGGTTTGGGAAGTATAGCTATAGACACCACACAACTTAACATGTCAGTCACTGATCCAACGGCTTGGGCTACAGCTATGAATAACCTGGGAATGGTTCCAGTAGGACTAGCTGGACAACAGCTTGTGACAGGTAATATTTTTTCTGTTTTAAAGAGATCTCTTGTACCGTCCATACATTCTTCAGGCCCTCTGAAAAATATATGGAATATATTTCTGAGGACATTATATTTTTATATTCTGAAAACATCACCTATGATTAATATTGCATACTGTGTATTAGTCTCTTCTTGTAGAAGGTATATAATCCATATTATATTTTAACCTTGTGGAAAAGCCAAAACTCTTTGGGGAAGTTAAACAACTAAGCCATTGATCCTTATGCTGGGTCAAGAGCATGAGGCAGGTCACGTAAGAGAAATGCTTGTTTCTGTTTCTCTGTTCAAGCAGGATGTCTTGAGGTTCTGCCAAGGAATACCCTGGGCTGGGAACTCTTGACCAGCGAAAGATTTTGAAGTTATATTAATTGAACAGAAAATCGTGAAGCCCATTCAATTCATATGCTCAGTTGATATTAGTGAAGTGAAGCTTTCCTATCAAATGTGTGCTTATTTACTTTCTGCCTGACACCATAAATTGAATTTCAAGGTTGTTCTTGTTTGATTTTCTTACTTCACTTCTCAAACACAGTTTGGAGAGTGTTGCAGGGGATTGCTTATTAATAATATTTTGAAACCAGCAATGTTTTACAGAATAGCCTGGATATATCAGTCTTCATCGTCAACACTAGAGGCCTGATTAGTTGGGATTAATAAAACTTCATTGCTCCTGTGAGATAGAGAAAGATTATTTTTATGTGAGCGGGTGCCCTATAGTTACAAGCCACATGCCAGGCATATGGCAGATCCCCTCTGGAAGCTGCATTGCCACTTCAGCTTAAGAAGAGCTGTGTAACTTCTAGATCAGAGCAGCATCCTATCACGTCTGCACCCATCTTCATAGATATGGATGCAGTGAGCCAGGTAATGATGTAAATCACTCTACCTGCTTCACCAGGGTTGTGTGATGCTTAATCTTGACCAAATATACCCCTTTCTGAGACTAGGAACTGAGTGGAGCTGTGCCAGTTCACCACTGACGGTCTGGCTCTGAATTACCTGTTTTACAGGCGGGTAAACTAAGCTGCAAGAAAGCTGATTTGTAATGAATCAGTCTCAAACAGAGAGTTTAGCTGGTGGAGGCCATGAACTGATTCTCAGTCTCTGGATTTAACCCCATGCTACTGATTAAAAGAAACAAGCAAAGCCATCTGCTCCTGGGGAGACAGTTCTCTTCAATGTTTTTATCAATGGCCTGGACACAGGAGTTTAGTCCACACTAAGTTTGCTGATGATACTAAATTCGGAGGAGCCATTGATTCCCTCAAGGGTAAAGAGGCCTAACATAGAGATCTGGAGAGATTAGAATAGATTAGGATATAATATTTCAGTGTAAGAGACCTACCATGATCATCTAGTCCAACTACCTGACTAATTGAGGGCTGACCAACTTAAAGCATATTATTAAGTGCGTTGTCCTAATGCCTCTTAAACAGACAGGTTTTGGGCATCACCTACCTCTCTAGGAAGCCTATTCCAGTGTTTGACCACCCTCTCAGTAAAGAAATGCTTCCTAATGTCCAGTCTGAATCTCCCCTGGTGCAGCTTGGAACCATTCCCAGGCATCCTGTCACTGGATGACAGGGAGAAGAGCTCAGCACCTCCCTCTCCACTTCCCCTCCTCAGGAAGCTGCAGAGAGCAATGAGGTGGCCCCTCAGCCTCCTTTTCTCCAAACTAGACAAGCCCAAAGTCCTTAGCCGCAACTTATAGAATATGTTTTCCAGCCTTGTCACCATCTTTGTTGCCCTCCTCTGGGTGCATTCAAGGACCTTCACATCCTTCTCAAATTGTGGAGCCCAGAGCTGCACACAGGACTCAAGATGAGGCTGCACCAACAGTAAAATACAGTGGGGTAATCACCTCCCTTGACTGGCTGGTTATACTGTGTTTGACACAGTGCACTGGGCAATCACCAACCGTGTGATATTTAACCAGGACAAATGCCAGATTCTGCACCTGGAACAGTGTAATCCTGGATGTGTGTGAGGACTAGGGGACAAGAGGCTGGAGTGCAGCCTTGCAGAAAGGGATCTGGGGTTTTTGGTTGATGGGAAGCTCTGCATGAGTCAACAACGCACCCTGGCAGCCAAAAGGGGCAACCTGGGGTGCATTAAGCACAGTGTAGCTCACTGGTCAAAATAAGTGATTGTCCCACTGCACTCAACATTGATTCAGCCTCAACTTGAGTGATGTGTGCAGTTTTGAGCTCCACAATGTAAAAAGGATATAAAAATATTAGAGTGTGTCCAAAGGGAGGCAAAAAAATTGTGAGAGGACTAGAGGGAAAGACTTAGGAAGAGCAGCTGAAGATACTGTTTGTTTATCTTAGAGAAGAGGAGGCTGAGGGGAGACATCACTGCTGTCTACAGCTTCCTCATAAGGGACAGTAGAGATTGCAGTGCTAATCTCTTCTCTCTGATGTCCAGTGATAGGATGCAAGGGAACGGCTTAAAGCTGCATCAGGTGATGTTCAAATTGGTTATTAGGAAAATGTTCTTCACTGTGAAGGTGGCCAAGCACTGGAACAAGCTCCCTAGGGAAGTGGTCATGGCTACAAGACTGTTGGTGTTCAAGAAGCATTTGGACAACACTCTTTGATATATGGTTTAACTTTTAAGTTGCCCCGTGTGGAGTCAGGAGTTGGACTCAATGATTGTCGTGGGTCCCTTCCAACTTAGGACATTTTATGATTCTATGTGCTGGTGGGGAAACAACTTTTTCCGTTTTCTGCTGGGGCTTTGCCTGCAGGTGCTGCACTCAACTTGAGTGTGATTACTTCCAAACCTGAAAACAGCTAAGTATAAAAATCAACTTATTCTGCTTTCATTTATAAGCATCTCTGTTGCATACCATGTGGAGGTTTGCCCACCTTTTTGTTTTCCCCTCTTCCTCTGTCTCTCCAGTTGCGGTGTAAATTGTGTCCTCAGGTGTGCTATGCAGTCCCTACATGGCAGTCTCATCTCATGTGCAGTGCTTTTCCTCACAAGGGAGGATCTCCAGGACTTTATTTCATTGCCAGCTCCCTGCTGTAATTTCCATAATTATGTGTATCACGTATTGTAGGAGTGTTGTACAGGTCAGTTGGTATTTGTTCAGCATTTTCAATGTATGAAAGGTGCCATAAGTAATAAATATTAATTACTGAAGTGCTGCCTGATTTCTCTACAGGTGCAGAATAACTTCTTTCTTTACTTTTTCTTTCCTTTGTTTGAGACTCTTGTATTTTCAAAGTAAATAAGTGCTTTGACACTTTGTTGTATTTCCTTATGATTCATAAGTTTTTGACACATTTTCTTCATGGAAAATCTATAATAGCAAAACCACAATTTACCATGAAAAGGCTATATAGATTTATTTGCTATAATATACTTACTGTATCTGCATCCAGTGAGGGATCACTGCATGACCATATTTGACCCAGTATCTAACAAATCCTTATCCCTTTCTGACTTTTTTCAATTTTTTTTTCTAATAATCCTAGTAATGAACTCATCTTTGTCAGCTTTTGCTACTGTCATCTGTGACATTTCTCATTTTTTTTTTCTAATAGTCCTAGTAATGAACTCATCTTTGTCAGCAATCACTTGCTTTTGCTACTGTCATCTGTGACATTTCTCAGAGATGAAAATGACACACCCATGTCCCAGAGCTAACTTTCTGTCTATCTTTAAAGATTTATTTTATTTCTCCTGCCTTGACAGCTAGGAAAGCAGTAAATAATTTAGATTAATCTTGGTGAGAGTGTGGTCTTCCCTGGATATCTTTACATAGCCTGCCATACATTTCAGCCATAGTCTGAAATTTGGTGCATGGTAGTCATCTATATCTTGACATATCTTTTAGTTCTCTGATCTTTCAGTTTCCAAAGGACTTACCCATTCACCGCCTTTCCTTCCCTAAACAAACAGCTTCCTAATTGCTAAATTGAAGGGTGGTTTTGTTCCTTTAGATATGGATTCCATGTGGTCTGCTAAGTCTTTTTAAAGGTTTTTGATGGGTTTTTTTCCCAACTGTTGTTAACTTTGCTGCTGCGTAACATGCTGGGATGCCTGCCTCGTAACAGAGTTATGCTCTCCACTTTGCAATCTGCAAGAGTTTCTTAAAACGACAGCAAAAGCTTCTGCAACATCTGGCCAATAGTCTTCTCACAGCCTGGGATGTAGTCTCTCTGGTCTTGGTAACTAATCAATTTTAAGCACTGCTAACCTTTTAATACCAGTTTAGATGATATCTGCACTCTATTTAATTCCTTATCTCCCAGTGCTGTAAAATTGGATTTTTGATCTGGGCAAATGTCAGAGCCTTTCATTTGTAAGGATGGATTCTTGTTAATAGTTGTATAGTATCTCTTCTGTTTCTACATACATTTTGCTTACACTTATTGTTATTCAGAAAGCTTACTTTTTTCCATAATATTTGGCTAATGCATTACATATACACTAATATATGCATTTATACATTATATATACATAATTCATACAATAAACTGTAGTTTAATAATACATTAGTCCAAGCGTTACAGATTGATGTGGAATAGTTATGGCTGAAAAGCACTTTCATTCTAAACGTACTTTTTTCAGCAGGTTATAAATTTTTCCAAAAAATTGCCTTTTGGGATGAAATTTTTCAAGCTTTCTCACGGCCCAAGGGGGAGAAAAAAAAATCTGGAAAGGTTGGAGAAAATCTGGTAAATTGCTTTTGAATTATCCAGGCCTTAAGATTACTGTTGTCTACGCTTTGAGACTTTGAGAAAAATGTTGAAGTGAGAGGCGAAGGATAGTTTGTACTCCACCTTTTTGAGATCTGAATCCTCTTTGTGCACTCAGCAACTCTGATTCAAGCACATCTTTCAAGTACATTCAAGTCTGCTGTTTTATTATATTTTAGGACTAGCAGAAAAACTCAGTGACCTCAGGCCAACTGAGAATGTTTTATTTTACTTTTGCATTGGTACTTTTTAAAGGCAATTTTGCC